GGGGCATCTCCACACATCAAAGCCCTGGCTCTGAAACTGACTTCATCGCTTACAATGCAGAGGCCGAGGCCGCTACATCTGCAGACATTCGTGGGGAGGGAGGTGAGGCTGGGCCTGAGGGCAAGTTTGGGAATGATGTCTGTACCTTTTCTTCTTTGTTGGCTGTGTGAGCGGCCACAATAACAGGGGTGGGAGAAACAGGTTTCCCGTCAGGTTCCTGAAAGCCCAAGTAGAGATACGTATAAAAACAAAGGAATTTGTTGGGGAATTTGAGGTTTTCCCCAAGGGAAGACTGATCAGGATCGGGAAGCAGGAGATGGTACCTCTCCCGTGGTATTCTACTGACCTGCTGAGCTGCAGGTCTTGAGGGCTGAAAGCCTTTTGCTTCTTCCATGACATTTCTCTCTTCATTTGGCTACCAGAGAATAAAGCAATCATGAAAAGACGTATGAAAGCGTAATTCATCTGTGAAATTGGCCTAAATCCCAGATACTAGTTCTCAATCGCACAATAATGTAAGCGGTGCAGTTCAAAACGTGACGTTGGGACTGCACTTCGCCCACAGTCACGTGAGATGTCGCGCCCCGGGCACTCACCGTGACTAGTGGGTACTGTTTGGCCGGCCACAGGTCAGCATGTGTTCCCTTCACCCATTCTTCTACAACAAAGGCTTCTTTTAATCCAGGAAAAAGGTTTTCATATTCTGTTGGATCAGCAAGGGATTCTGCTGCTTTCTGATTGACTTTTGAGAGACTTTCTCTCCAGAGTTTCACCACCCTATTACAGATACCATGGAACCAAAGGGAGACTGGGTAAGTGCTCTGTTTTTATCTGAATCATTTCTTCCTAAAATGAAAAGTCTGTACCTTGAAACCTGACTGGGTAAGTAAGTCCGTGCCAGGAAGGCAGCTTCTGGCAGTCGTCCGGTTCTGATCAAGAGCTCCAGGCAAGCGTCAAGCCTAAAGATGAAAAAGGAGAGGCACTGTTACCAAGAATAAAAGCTATAATAACGGCACTTAACACATAAAAGACACGTGGATTTAGTGTTGCAAAGTCAGCATTCCTTCGCCAGCTCCCACACATACACCTTTTTCTGTCACTGAGCCACTGACTTGTCCTCACCAGTGTTACATAATCAGTCCATCAGTGGACTCTAGGAGTGTGAGGGACAGGACAGCTTTTGTGACCATTTTCAATCTCTACCTTTCCTAAGACTCTAAAGGGGCTTTCAAAGGAAAGGCAGCTTAAGTGAGCACATTTAAAGGCTTTTCAGGAAATACAGGAGCAGAAACTCAATTTTACAGACCGTGCTGGACAGTCCAGTGTGCCTAGCAGGAAGATAGCCAAGCATCTATTTTATTTTTTAATTTCAATTTTTTCCTGTGTAAGTTTGATAAAGAGGATAATGTGTTTTAGAATTCAGGAGTTTTTTTTAACCTTAAAATGGTAATACTTTTTGGATTTTAGGAAGTACTTATACATTACCTAACATCAGCATCAAAATCACAAACAATACTCTGCAATAACACATGAATACTAAATGCAATAAAAACGTACAAAGTGGAATAAAAGCAACTAATAATACTTCAGAGTTTAGGTCACACTTTGCCATCAAATAAAATAATCTCACAGTAATTTTAGATTTTTGAATTATTGATAAGGAATAGTAGACCTATTCTTACAGGTATATAAATTTATGAATACATGTTATAAAATACATATATATTCAAGGTTTTTATGATTAAGTGTGGGGTTTAAAAAGTATACAGGGCAATGTTAACGAATACTTCTGTGTTTTATAAGATGGTCAACCAATGAAATAATCTGATATGCAGTAACTGCTAAACTTCTAAAAATATGACTTTTTATGCTTTAAAGTTGGACTCAAATCTGACAGTAACTAGCACCCTCATCCCTCTTTATTTTTGCCATGAACAGATCAGAATTATCCAATTTGGGTAAAATCACCTACCGTTCAGTTACCAAATGAAGCAGGCAGCCCAACAGCCTCCTGCCATGATGAAATGAAACACCTCACTCAGTCAGTGACAGGGCTGCTGAGAAAGGGATTTAACACTTCTCCCAGGTGAGCCTCCCCGAGCAGCTCCTTTTGCTCAAAAACGTAGACCAGATGTGGTAAGAGCTTCCCCTGCTGAAGGTGAGTGCCACCGAGGTAGCCCCGGCCCCTCACTGCTCCCACTAGCAACACCGCTCTCTCCAGGGTTCATTCTTCACATTCCTCTCCAAAAACACCCTCAAAGTCAGTGCAGAAGCAAAAGCTTTTCATTACTATGCCCACCTCTTTCAGACCTTGGATTAATACTTACTTGCCCTGTAAGAAGTAGCTCATGAACGCCACGTTGTTCTTGCCATCTCGCTCCGCACCCTCTGCTAGCTTGTTCACCATGCTAGCATTTCCAGAGGCAGTGGCCAGAAGCAACAGACCCCCGTAATCCTGCGCGTGGTGCAGGCACTCCTGGGCGAGGCCGAACTGGCACTTACTGATGGCAAGCTCGGCAAGCTGCTTCCACTTCTGTTCTGACTGTAAGAAAGTTTCCAAATTCAAGTATCTTTGAAAATAAACATTTGGATTTCCAACATCAACATTATTCTGCTAACATTACTGTGATGGCAATTTTTTGTTTTATACATATTATACACATTACATATAAAATACATATTTTATATATAGAGAGCGAGCTGTGGCTGTTACGCTGGTTCTATCAATCAAAGTAAGAATGGAATGACAAAATGTATGAGGAAATAGAAATTATTCACATACATAAAATTAATTCTGACACAAATCAGTTTCAATGATGCATGAATAATCATCAGCCCATCATGTTTTCATTTTGTAATGACACAGTGGAACACACTAATGAGTCTTAAGGTAATTAGATTGCAATTATTTTAACAAGTGATTTAACACCATTTTTTGAAAAAAAGTCCTTTTATGTCAAATATTGAATAAATTATTATCTGTCATTTGGAGCTTCTCAGAAATCAAATAAAATGATGCACAATTTGGATGATCTTAACATAGCTAAAACTTATTTAGCCCATCTGAAATGAATTTACCAGTAAATTCTAGACTTAAAATCACAACTGGGAGCCCTCAATATACAAAGATCCATAAAGATGCCATGAAACTGTCTCAAAATGTCAGAACCCATCTTTAGAACTAACGTCTTTCTCACTAGTTTGGGACGCTGCTGTGTGTGCACTCGTTTAGAGTCCCAGACTACTGTCTACTATCCTGCAGCTCTCCTTCTCTTCCAAAACAGAGCTCACGTAAGATAACACTTCCTTAAACAAATTCGAATGCTACAAATATATTGAAGATATAATAATGTATGTCTCCAATATAATTCATTTATGTAAAGATAAACAATTCATTCTTAAAAGACCAAAGAGAGGCAATAACCTCACCAAAATGAGTTACTACTTTGCATTTTAGAAAACTTTAATAATACAGCTTGCACTAAACACACAGAAGTACCTATTCACCTTTCCATCAGCTATGAAAAATCATGAATCAATACATACCTCTGCTTCCACTGCTAATTGGTATGCAATTGTTAGTTCTCCAAGCTGAAGAGCAAGTTCAAAGCGATGCTCAGGATCTGTGGATACTGTAAGAGCTTGTTGCTTGAAGCCCTAAACAGATAAAATATATGTGTGTGTGCACGTCTGTGCACACAAGCGCGCACACAAGGCAAGTCACCCATTTCCCTCGCAAACTAAAAATACACTGCTGACGCTGGAAGCCCCATTACTTACATCAAACAAAAGTAACAGATTAAAAAATAGTCTTCAATTTTGAAGACAGAAAAATTAAGGAGCCATTAAATTAACTGTTAAGAACAAACCTGGCAGACAAAATTCAGTCACACCATGCATACTGTCAGGGGAAGCTGACCAATGCTAGATAAACTCAAGTAAAGTAACAACCAGTAAAATTTAGAAATGTAATAGTAAACAAATGTCAAAAAGAAAAGGATTTTGGAAAGTTGATGAAAAAGAGCCATTTCCAAAAAAGACAGTGGTGGAGACCTAGCTGTTGGTAATCTCACTGAGCTGGACCCTAGAGATCCAGTCTGGGGCCTCAAAGAAAAGTCAAATGTAAAACCTTCCAAATTTCTATCATCTGCAGGTCATTCAGCAACATTCTGCTTTCAGGTCCTGACATTGAACGGGTGTCATTACCTACGCCTTTACTGTTGGTCTCATGTCCCTTTTACTCATCAGTAAGCGTTCCAGAGGGCAGAAGTCTAAAATTGCCCTCTCATGCTCCAGTCAGTCATGAGAAACAGACTTTTAAACCAATTACTATAATTACCATATTAGCTTCTCCCTCAAGACAACAGTGCTGATGGGGTCTGCCCTAAGTTCTTCAGCTCCAGGGATGTGGTACACGAGATGAAAAGCTCAAACTGCAGAAGACTTCATCACACTGGGGATGACAGCCCACTCTGGGGTGGGCAGGATGGAGAAGCTGGACAGCCGAGTTCTGCCCGGCTAGATGTTCAGGATGGCTGTTATCACTGTGTTTAAAAGAACTTACCAGACTACACAAGCTGCCCCTCCCTCCATTCACCCTGAGTACCCTGTAACAAGGTATTCTGAATAATCTGCATTACTCCTTTTCTTCGAGCACTGACGCAGACAATATAAAAACCAAGAGTAGAGGATGGAAGATCGGCAGAACCAGTCAGATATAGGCGAGGCAAAGCAGATGAAATGAGGTAGGCTGAACACACTTTTGTTTTCCTCCAAATCCCCACTAAAATGACACTAAAGGGATTCTCTTTTTAAGCCATAAACTCCCAAGGACACAAAGAAAGGCAGAGGAGACACTAGTTAACATTTTGGAAGCTCAAAAGCTGGTGGAGGAGCATAAACATTCAGCAGAAATGCTAGAAAAGATCAACCCCTAAGTCAGGAGTGAAGGCAGTGGAGAAACGGCCTGGTTCGCACCTCGGATCCCCAGCGTTGTCTTGTGAAGGGCAGTGCTCAAACCAGCAAGTAAACTGAACCGCCTGAGTGTCTATGTAAGAAGCAGTTAGATACCCCAGGTCTCCACCCCTCTCCCTCCGACCTCTTGACACACACAGAAGGCAGGAAGGTGGCCTGTTCTTTGGAGGGTAAACCAGAAGGTCTCCAGTCTGAGGGAGCCCTGCACCCCTGGAAGGAGGGCTGACAGGAGATTATGAAAACGGGTGAGACTAAATGAGAATTCTGAGACTAATAAATGTTTGAAATACTAAATGCTGAGACACCAAGCCGTCCTCTACTCAGCCCCCAGAGGATGGTGATTGGGGAGCTTCTCTGTAAACTAACCAGCCAGAGGGATAAGACTTAATACTACTAAAATGTCAGGGGTATATGCTGGCCTGAACAGGGCCTGGTACAGTATTAAGTGCTCATTAAATTCATTACATGACTAAATGAAAAGTCATTAAATTCATCAGATGAAGGTACTGACACTGAAGGTCCCAATCAAATGGCCCAGCCACGTCACATGTTCTGAGTCCAGACCCAACAAGGTCACCCACAAACTCAGACCTTTTGACCTGCTTCTTAGAGCCCCACTCTTAAATGAGTGTCCAAAGATAATCAGATACCTGAGGAAGACCTTTGAAAGGAAAGAGAGATCAAAATGCACTCACAGAACTATATTCAACATCTTGTAGTAACCGTTAATGAAAAAGAACATGAAAACGAATGTACGTATGTATATGCATGACTGGGACATTGTGCTGCACACCAGAAACTGACACACTGTAACTGACTGTACTTCAATTAAAAAACAAAAAAATAAAATCCGCCCATAACAGCAATTTGAAGGAAGTATATACCACGTAGGGGAAAAGAAAACTTCAACAACAGCAAACCATCCATCCAACCATAAATAAGATTTTAAAAGCCCAGGAATAACAAAATGAGAAAACAGTCCTCCAGCAGGAGGCCCAACATCTGAATCACAGTTTCACAGGGAGAACATAGAAAACGAAGGAAGGAGATCATCAGAGAAACGACTCAAGAAAATCTCTCAAAAATGAAGGACAAGAGAGCTCATCTAATACCCAGAAGAATGAATGATAACTGACCACCTACACCAAGGCCACCATCACAATGACATCACAGAATAACAGAGACAAGATCCCAAAGACTTCCAGAGAGAAAAAACAGATCAGGTACAAAGAATCAGGAATATAAATGACTTTAGACTTGAACAACAACTAGAAGCTAGAAGGCAGTAGACAAGATAGGATTTTGTCTTCACAATTCTGAGAAAATTACTGAGAGAAATACAGAATTCTACATCCAGTCTAACGGCCAAACATGTTTTAGGGTGGACCAATGGCACTTTTAGATAATCAAGATCACAAAAAATTTACTTCCTATTGGTAATAATCCTTTTCTCAGGAAACCACTGAAGGACATACTCCAGCAAAATGAGGGAGTAAACCAGGAAAGAAGAAAAGGGGATATAAGAAATAACAGATCCAACTCAAAAGGGGCGAAGGGAAGCCCCAACATGATGGTGAAGGAATATCCACGATGAGGGCAAAAAGCAGTTTAGCCTGAGGCAGACGGAACATAATGAAAGGAGATTTGAGGGAAATGTGGAGAAGCAGCAGAGTAGGGAGAATGACCATCGGTGAACAGGGAGACAAAGTTTAAAAAAAGAAACAATGATTATCTCCTGGAAAACCACCACCTGCAGGAGGGGAAAGCTGTACCACACCACACGGCTCAGCTGTGAAGAGCGTTAGCACAGCCATAACCGTATCAACAGTGACTGCTGATCTAATCAAAACTGTGATGTAACTTTTTTGGGAGGATAAGGAATAGGAAAGTGGCATGTATGTGACAGAAGTTGGGGGGGTAGAGGGGGGATAAAAGAAAGATAAATCCTCATCTTCCACAGAGCGTGAAGCCACGAGACATGCCAAATAGCCATATAAGCATGTTACTTAGAGATGCGGAAAGAAATACCAACAGAGCAGCTAGAAGAGTCAAAAGTGATTACCTCTAGGGAGCAGAAATGAGAGAGAAAGGAGGGATGTTTTTCTTAGGCTTGCAAACTTTTATCCTTTGTCCATATATAACTTTGATTTTAAAAAATACTACATTCAGGAAAGGGCTTATCACTAATGGCAAATTTTATATTATGTGTATTTTACAGAAAGAAAGAGAGAAGCCAGCTAGGATAGAGAAAAATGCAGCAGAGAAATGAAAATACTGACAGAATGGAAAATTCTACAGAAAGGGAAGACTGATAATCACCTCCAACATTTTAAGGGGATACTAAGGGCAATGAGAAAGGAGAGGGAGGGGTGTCCCAAGTGACTTAACTTTACAGGAGAAATTCCACTGCCATCAGGAAATCAGTGGCAATTAAGAAATAAAGTTCTTCAAATTCATACTAACATTCTTTCAAATTGCTGGTTTTAAAAAACACACATAAATAAAATAAAACACACACACACAAAGCCCTTACCTGCTTTTCCAAAAAGTGTGCAACTCTGGTCCTCTGTTCTTTTGGAATGGTAGGAAGCACCTTGTCGGCCATGCTGAAGTCCCTGCGCATGACAGCCGTCTGGTACTCCAGCACTGAAACCAGCAGGGAGTAGCTGACAATGTTTAGTTCTTTATCCCCGAGGTACAGCCTGTTGTCCTTAGGAATATAGCCCAGGAGATACATTGTCCTGGAAGAGAAACAGGAACTGGTTTAGAACTAAGCCCAAATCAGTAGACAACACCCACGTATGCGAACACACGCACACACGCACGCACACACACACGCTCACTATGCTTCTTGCTTAAAATCCTTCCATTCAACTGATGCAATTTTGATTAGCAACTGCCAACCGACTACACCTGTAACACTAAACAATCAGGCCTATCATTGTTACAAGTTAGCATTTGGTTTTGTTTAAAAAGTATACTTTAAAATTTAGGATGCTAAAGACAAAAGCAAAATGATACTCAGCTACCTGTCCAAGTGGGCAATGGTGACTATTTCTCCTCCAACATAATAATTTAATCTGTTCACAGAACTTGTGTAAATGAAGCAATCGCCCACCCACAGCCCTGTTTTCACAATTTCCTGAATCTCACCAAGAACCTGCAGGAAAAAAATAAAAGTCTATTATTATCTTATTCAGCATTAGAAATCCTACTAATAACAAAAAACTGAATATAATTAGGGGTGATAGGTAGAGTAAGAAGTGCAAAAAAAAAAAAAAAAAACCAAAAAACAAAAAACTCCTATTTCAAGAAAGAAAATCTTTTCCTGGAATTTCTACCTTCTTTCTTCATTGAAACACAGATTCCTGGATGAGTATCTGTAATATAAAATCTCACTGTTGCATCATAGCTGTGACCTTGGAAAGTGCTGATCTAAACTCCCAACATACATGAAACTGGCATAATAAATATTTCATAAAATCTTCCAAGACATGTCCACAATGGATGATTTATCTTCACCATTTGAAAACTCTTTTAAATAACTCTGGCTAAATTGTCTTAGGACCAAAACACCTTATAATTTCCTTATTGAAGATAATCGAAGTTAGTCTAAAGATTTCCTAAAATCAAAGCACAAATTTCTTTTAAACATAATACTTGAAATACTTTCAGACTCTGCTCTTAGAGGCAAGATTTTAATTTTCACATTTCACTGTCACTCCTTAAATGCTTAGTTTCCCCAAATGTGATTTTACAATTAAATGTTACCATGAGTGAAGTTTACTCTAAGAATATAAATCATTTAAAAACAAAGCTAAGCTAAAGTTGTGCTGATGCACGTACCTCAAAGCCATCTTCAATACCATCTTCAGTAACTCCCTCATGTGTTTCCTGTGCAGCCAAGACTTTTTCCGACAGATATTTAAGGATAAAAAAGGACTCCTCGGTGGCAATACAGACTAGCTCTCCAGAGTCGGACCAGAAAATCTGCAACACGACAAACAGAAACACAGGTGACTTTGGATCTCTGAGAGAGTATGACGAACTGCATACACTCTGTTTCTCACAAGGTTTATCTTCATACATGAAGATATTAAGTATGCACTTAACAATTTCATGTCATGTATATATACAAACATTTGGGTGGACAGGGCACTGGCATTCTATTCAGCCTAGAATTGGAAAGACCTGAGGGAGGCAGGCAGGGGCACTGGCAGGAGACACCAGGGTGCCGAGAGTGGGAGGAGCAGTAGCCCCCTCCCTACTGCTCGAGAGCTGTGCTTCGCACCCTTTTTTCCCCACTATGACCCCCACCCGAAACCTTTCATAGACATTTTCCCCACAATCACCTTCCCCTGTGAAGTTGTAGTATCAGAAATGCTGTGTTTATACACATATTAACACATAAACATACACGCATGGTGCATAAACACCTGACGTGCATATCCATACAAACATCTACGCTTTACACATAAAGAGAGTGCTTGTCTCCATCCCTCAGGAACTAGTTTTTGGCCCCCTGGGGACAACATTCCCCCTGCTGAGAATGCATGTTCTAGAAGACACACCAGGACCCGGGGAGGCGGACTTGTCTCCACAGACAATTTCTTGACAATGAAAGTTGTCAAAGAAACACGTGGTTCTAAAGGTAGAAAACCTTGTCACTGGAGCCAGCTACCTCAAGTTTAAACAGCCATTATCAGGGACAGTAGGACAGGGCTTTCTGAACTGAGTGGGAGATTTGCAGGCATTTCTAGGTCAACAACTCCCTGACTTTTTATCTTCAACGCTTTTTTTTTTTAAACTTTGTTAAAAGCCATTTAAAATATGAATAGCACTTGGCATTTGTATAACTTTTTATACTTTTCAAAAAGCCCAGCATCTACTGCCTCATTCAAATACCACAGTTCTCATTTCCTAGGCAGTCCTGAGGTAAATGGCACTGTGTCCAGCACAGCGGAACACGGACAGCAGGGTACGAGGATGTTTCTTGGCCTCGGGGACCCAGAACTTGTCACAAAGATGCACATTCCAAAACCAACAATGGAGGGAGCTCACGTGTTTGGGCTGAATTTCAATTCTGCGTATGAGCTCTGTATTGTCCCAGTCATAGAAAGCCAAGCCGTTCACAGATCTGACTCCCAACAAGAAGCCTCCGTAGATACCTAGAAAGAACAGAAACAATTTAGATCCTTAGACATTTCTGAGTCATTACAAAACTTCTAAAATTGTATTTTATGGAAAATAGCACTTACTTTCAGCTCCAAAATCTGGTTTAAATGATTTTTTTTCCTTAAAGTTCTTAAATATCTTTACAACACTGTTGCTTTCTCTTATTGCATATCTGGGGGGGGGGGAAGGAAAGCAAACATAGCATATTATGTATATACTGTAATTCCAACAAATATTAAAAAAATCTTCAAATATATCTGAGTAGTGAATTATGCAAAAATGTAAAATTAATATTTGAAGATTCACTAATACATTTTTTTCCCTAAGAGATCACTGAACTCCTTACAGTTGGACAAATAGTGAATGGGCTTCATGTTCTTTATTACACAAATTACTAGGGCTTACAAACTATTTTAGAAACTGAAAAGACCCAAGTCTCTTAACAGGTGAATGATTAAAACCAAATGTGCTTTATTTATGAAATGAAATTTATACTCTACAAAAAAGGGGGACCAATTACTGATCCATGCAACAACACGGATGAATCTCAAACACATTCTCCAGAGCAAGAGAAGCCAGACATGAGAGTGTATACCACACCACTCCACTGATGGGAAACCCTGAAGATGGCAAATCTGATGTACTGGGGAGTGGGGTGGTGCTGACTGCTAAGGTAAACAAGGGGGTTGCTTCTGAGTGACAGAAATGTTCTATGTATCCTGACTGTGGTGGTGGTCATGGCTTATATTCATTTGTCCAAATTCACTGAAATGTACACTTAAAACAGTGCACTTAATTCTGTATAAATTATACCTCAATATAAAAAAAATAACAACTTTTGTAAGTGGCTCACTTCTTGGCCATGCTTGGCAACAGCTTAGAAAACTGTGTATACTCAGGCCTCTGCCCTGAAAAGGGGATGGTGCTGGATATTTGAGAGCGTGTGAGGAAGAGACCTGACAAGTGCTTTGCTCAGGACAGGAAAGCTGCTGAGCAGCGTCTTGGCTGGACAAAGCTGAAAAGAAGGAACTATCAAAACAGAGGAAGACGTGTGCTGAGAGAGGTAAGGCAACTCATGAACTACGATTCTGCTTAAGATGGTAGCAAAGTACCTTTCAGTGTATGGAACTGTGCATGCATGAGTTATTTAAGAAACTTATGAAAAGATCTTACCTCTCAGTGATCTTTTTGTTAAAAAATAAAAAGCACGTTCTTAATACGCAATGCTGAGGCTTAAGTTAACCACTGTTGGCACAAGAGGTGACATAGAATATGGGCAAAACGAAACTAAGAAACCTGTAGAGATGAAATTCAGTGCACGGTCTGAAAAAACCAAAGTCCCAGTGTTTATTACATGCACCAAACAGGAATCAAAAAGGAACCCGTCAGTGACTATCTAGTATAATAACTGAGAGGTGACTTCTTCCTGTTTTTAATGAGACTAGTTCATAAACATTTTGAATTCGGACAGAATTTGTTTCATTAACAATGGGAGGTGGGTAACATCACAGAATGAGTTTTTAAAAAGATTCAATGAAGTTCTCACCAAGGTTACATCAGACCCTAACAGCTCTCCTGAGAAACACAGAAAAGGGCAGCAGCAGCTCAGGATGCCAGGTTCCAGGCAGGGCCTGCCAACCACCCGACCTGAGGGCCCATTCTGCCTGGAGCCCATAAGTACCAGGCCCTGCCATGGGCTCCATCAGGGAAAAGGGTGCTTGGTCCCTAGTTTAATGAAATTATTAGATGGGACTGAGCATACCAGCTCAGTACTGAGCACAGGGCAAAGGCGGCTCAGGCTGAACAGCTGCCGACTCTCATCTTCCAACACTGCTCTGGTGAGAACTGGTCTTTAACCTGGAGCAGCGCAGCCTTCACTGAGCCTTGCAAACCTCTCTCACATGCAGAACACCCACTGGCAATCAGGGCAAGCTGCTTATTACCCAGCCAAAACTTACTCCGAAGAATCGTGGGCCCACGCGAACTCCTGCGCGGACCCGAAGCTCTTGTTCCTCAGTGCCATCGCTGTGTAGATGATGTACTCGCCGTCCCCACACACCACGACAAACCTAGGAACCACAGGAGCCAGGAAGGGAAGCACAGGGGACCAGTGACACATAGAAGAAACAATGATTCATTTTGATGGTGAAATACTTCTAATGACAAATGTTATTTCAGTTGACTGTTCCAAATGAATCTAGTATCTTTTAAAGTTATATATTTCTTTGAATACAGAGCTAGATATAAACATTCTATTAGAAACTAACACAACATTGTAAATCAAC